GTATACATAATGGTAAGTGACTTGACCCACCAGTATACATAATGGTAAGTGGCTTGACCCACCAGTATACATAATGGTAAGTGGCTTGACCCACCAGTATACATAATGGTAAGTGGCTTGACCCACCAGTATACATAATGGTAAGTGACTTGACCCACCAGTATACATAATGGTAAGTGGCTCGACCCACCAGTATACATAATGGTAAGTGGCTTGACCCACCAGTATACATAATGGTAAGTGACTTGACCCACCAGTATACATAATGGTAAGTGGCTTGACCCACCAGTATACATAATGGTAAGTAGCTTGACCCACCAGTATACATAATGGTAAGTGACTTGACCCACCAGTATACACAATGGTAAGTGGCTTGACCCACCAGTATACATAATGGTAAGTGGCTTGACCCACCAGTATACATAATGGTAAGTGGCATGATTCACCAGTATACATAATGGTAAGTGACTTGACCCACCAGTATACATAATGGTAAGTGGCTTGACCCACCAGTATACATAATGGTAAGTGGCTTGACCCACCAGTATACATAATGGTAAGTGGCTTGACCCACCAGTATACATAATGGTAAGTGGCATCGACACCAGTATACATAATGGTAAGTGGCTCGACCCACCAGTATACATAATGGTAAGTGGCTCGACCCACCAGTATACATAATGGTAAGTGGCTCGACCCACCAGTATACATAATGGTAAGTGGCTCGACCCACCAGTATACATAATGGTAAGTGGCTCGACCCACCAGTATACATAATGGTAAGTGGCTCGACCCACCAGTATACATAATGGTAAGTGGCTCGACCCACCAGTATACATAATGGTAAGTGGCTCGACCCACCAGTATACATAATGGGAAGTGGCTCGACCCATCAGTATACATAATAGTAATTGGCATGATTCACCAGTATACATAATGGTAAGTGGCTTGACCCACCAGTATACATAATGGTAAGTGACTTGGCCCACCAGAATACATAATGGTAAGTGGCTCGACCCACCAGTATACATAATGGTAAGTGGCTCGATCCACCAGTATACATAATGGGAAGTGGCTCGACCCACCAGTATACATAATGGGAAGTGGCTCGACCCATCAGTATACATAATAGTAATTGGCATGATTCACCAGTATACATAATGGTAAGTGGCTTGACCCACCAGTATACATAATGGTAAGTGACTTGGCCCACCAGAATACATAATGGTAAGTGGCTCGACCCACCAGTATACATAATGGTAAGTGGCTCGATCCACCAGTATACATAATGGGAAGTGGCTCGACCCACCAGTATACATAATGGTAAGTGGCATGATTCACCAGTATACATAATGGTAAGTGGTTTGACCCACCAGTATGCATAATGGTAAGTGACTTGGCCCACCAGAATACATAATGGTAAGTGGCTTGACCCACCAGTATACATAATGGTACGTGGCTTGGGCAGCGGGCCTCCAGCAGCAACAGCCTGGTTGACCAGGCGAGCACCAGACGAGCCTCGCCCATGGCCGGGCTCAGAGAGTAGATATACTCTCGAAATTCTTCAAAGGTAAAGGTATAAAGGTATAAAGGTATATACCAGTATACATAATGGTAAGTGGCATGACTCGCCAGTATACATAATGTTAAGTGACTTGACCCACCAGTATACATAATGGTAAGTGGCATGACCCACCAGTATACATAATGGTAAGCGGCTTGACCCACCAGTATACATAATGGTAAGTGGTTTGACCCACCAGTATACATAATGGTACGTGGCTTGGGCAGCGGGCCTCCAGCAGCAACAGCCTGGTTGACCAGGCGAGCACCAGACGAGCGTAGATATACTCTCGAAATTCTTCAAAGATAAAGGTATAAAGGTATATACCAGTATACATAATGGTAAGTGGCATGACCCACCAGTATACATAATGGTAAGGGGCTTGACCCACCAGTATACATAATGGTAAGTGACTTGGCCCACCAGAATACATAATGGTAAGTGGCTTGACCCACCAGTATACATAATGGTAAGTGGCATGATTCACTAGTATACATAATGGTAAGTGGCATGACTCACCAGTATACATAGCGGTAAGTGGCTTGATCCACCAGTATACACAATGATAAATGGCTTGACCCACCAGTATACACGATGGTAAATGGCTTGACCCACCAGTAAACACAATGGTAAATGGCTTGACCTACCAGTATACACAATGGTAAATGGCTTGACCCATCAGTATACACAATGGTAAGTGGCTTGACCTACCAGTATACACAGTGGTAAATGGCTTGACCCACCAGTATACACAATGGTAAATGGCTTGACCCACCAGTATACACAATGGTAAGTGGCTTGACCCACCAGTATACATAATGGTAAGTGGCTTTACCCACCAGTATACACAAAGGTAAGTGGCTTGACTCACCAGTATACACAAAGGTAAGTGGCTTGACCTACCAGTATACACAATGGTAAGTGGCTTGACCTACC